TCCATAAAAATTACTTGCCGTGGCCCTAATGTCGTGCCCCTGGAAAAGAAGATCACAGACATAATTTTGAAGTTCGTAAATCGATTACAAAGATGAGAATTTGAATATAAAATTAGGAAGATCAAGGACATTATACACAGAATAATGTCCTTGGGAAGATATGAAGAAATTCCCCGCGACCAGAGTTTTGTCCATTCTGTCCCAATGATATTGAAGACAAACAACATTCTATTATGGATTGTCCACTATATAATGATAAACGCACAAAGCTGTTCAACCTTCTCCCCGCTTGCTCAACAGAATTTGTTGCATTTCATGCTATAGATAAATCTAATTTCATCCTAGAAGGTAATAGGTATCAAATAATGTTAAGACCTTAGAACAAGTAGTATTAGTTGACTCATCTATTGTTTTGTACGTAGGATAATTTCGTTGTACCCATGTATATTTGTCCGTATGTCTACTTGTAGTTGTAGACCTTACGAAAGTCGCTGTACTTTTGTTGTGTCAATAAAGTTCTCATATAACGTATTACGTACACAGTTTTGAGCATTGAAGACCTCTATCATTGACGGACAAAGTATAAGTATATAATAGTACTACTATTATACACAGACGAGCTTGCGTATATCAGTCATTGCGCCCCCTATCTCTCTTTCGCTCTCTCTCTCTATTTATCTATCTATGAAGACTTACCACATTTGTGGAATGATTAATATAACAGGTGACTATCACCATTTCGAAGATGTCAACCCTGAGATGTCAACCAACTGTAGAGGTTTGAACCACTCACATCAGAAGTGTGGCGGTGGCTCTCCTCAAATCGGCTTTATGATCCGAGGGACGTCCCTAACCGAAGCCTGGTACTCATCTTCACCTGAGTTTAGTGAGGAAGTAGGTGTAAAGTGGTTTTCCCAAGAGTCGATAACCCTAACCGCTACCCCTACCTTAAGACTACTTTACACCTTTCACTCCTAAAGCTTCGGTCACAACCCGCCGTACGTGCTTCTGCGTGCTGTCTACGTGCAAAAACATGGGCAAACGCAGGGCATCCGTGCGTGGTGAGTACCGCCTCCATACGGAATCCTACGGGTTTGGGAGCAGGCAGACACGCCGTAGAACTTTAGGTGCATGTAAAACTTTTTCTGCGTGCGGTCTGCGGATTCACCACCCGTGCGTGCGAGTACGAGCGACGCGCGTGCCCCGTACGTACCGTACGAAAGACGCACGTGTGAGTACGACCTCCTTACGGTAAAGTTGCAATCGCACAGAGATCGTACGTTGTAAGCACGTACAACTCATTTACCACTTGCGCAACGTACGTTGCACGCAAACGCTCACGGCCAGACGTGGCGCGTGCAGACCACACTCTTACACCTTGCAAAACCGTGCGAGTGACGTGCGAGTGACGTGCGTAGACGCCACTCCTTCCCCACGTTTTCAGAAAAAAACGTAGCGGACGTAGCCTCCCAAAAAACGTTGTGACCGCAGCTTAGCCAGTCTGTCCCATCCTCCCTCCCCCCCCCCTCCACACACAAATTGCCAGATGGTAAGTATGATGAATTTGAAGGTCAAACAGCGAGTTGAAAGGTCAAGAAAGATCCATGGTCCGGCCGCCACCCGGAGGTCAAGCGAATCTTCGGCGAGCAGCGGACCGGTCTGATCCATCAGACCACTAATTATCAACATCATTCTCACATTCACTGACCACATGGGCCACAGATCCTAAATCCAATCTTACATTCTCAACAGTACAAAATGCGAAAAGAAGACGAATTCATATACTAGATGGTAGTACGGACTACTAACTTCATTATTGTTTATACTGTATAAATGTTGTTGTAAACTACTCATTTGTTTGTGTGACCTGTACTTTGCCCAATCGGGGTAATTACGTACAGTCTTGAGAAAACAGTCACCCTGACACTGTAACTCATGATTCAGTCAAGGTCACTTTCGTGAAGTATTGGTGCCGTCGCAAAATGTGAAAAACAGATACGTATACTATTAGATAATATTGAGGATGAATGCCATTTTGTAGTTGATTGCACATTATATGAGAGGGAAATGAGAGGGATTCCCTCTATACTTATGTAACAGATAAGTTCCCAACCGTCTTTAGACATTTAGACAGAATAGAAAAATTCGAATTTCTTATGAAACTTGACAAACCATGTATCATTAGCTCAATATGTTCGTACATCTTTAACTGCGTCAAGAAGCGAGAAGAAGTTGAACATGTAAATAGTAGATCACATTAGTATGTATAGTTTAAGTATCATTGCTGTATCCTTTTCATTGTCTATTCATGACCTGTACTCAACTTGTTAGCGCACAAACTTACAATAAAGGTCTTTCATTCATTCTAGACTTGTACCGTTATATGGACAATTGTACTGTTGATCGTGCTTGCTTGCAGAAAAACGGAGAGCCCGGTGCACGGTACCAGGGACTGGGCATATCCCAGTAGGCGGAACAGTGCTGCGTCGCTGGTATTAGGATATCATAGGTGTTCTTACGTCGGTAATACAATCGATATGATCCTTTCGAGATCTATCTTACGAGGGCGTCTAAAATGTGTCTCTCAAATGTAGATTCGGTGAAAATTTATGCGTTTACGGCTGTAAGCAGCTTGTTACATCAACCCATATTCAATACAGAGGGACGTTTTGCTTAAACTAAGGTCATGTTGGTTTGATCATATGGATGACACCCGCGTGACGCATGAATTTACGGCCGTTTCCAAAACAAAAAAGTTTTCAACCATACTGTAAATCGTACTAAACAGTTGCAAAATAAGAAAATGTAGAAGAAAAAGTCGGAAAACGACAACAATGTCATAGAATAAACGAAACGAAACTAAAAAACTAAACGAAAAGGACGAAAATGTAAAGAAATGAATTTGAATAGATTATTCGTCATACCATACTCTGTGTCATTTGTTCAATTCATGACCACGTAGATTTCATGCTGAATTGAAAGCAAGTTTTTTTGTGCCAAACTACTTTTTATTCGCACGCTCGCATCAGTTTTGGGGTTCCCACTGGATGTCATCCATATAATCAAATTAACATGGCCGAACTAATTCTTTATCTGCCAATGCTTGAAGCTCCTTTCCTGTGTGTTGCTCCACTGAGCTGCAGTTTTCATATATTCCGTTGGAGGGCGTTTCGCAATATCATATCCAGTTGCTTGCCTGGATGCTATCCAGTTATTACCTGGATGCCTGACCTTCATCGACGACGTTTCATTTGTTACGGAAATACGGGAAGAAGTCTGCTATTTTAAGGGGGTCCACATGTTATTGTCCAACCGTGGGCTGAGCCATTGCACTGTGTTAATAAATACCACAGTAATGCAGGAACAACGAGAGTTCCGAGATCTCATACCTCCATGAAATATAAGCTTGCTTTGTCATACTTCATTTCAACATTAATCATTAATTATACAAATGACATTTACATTAACATAACATATGTATAGTGGCGTTAACCTTTAAGTAACTTACACATGTCAAAAGATTCACATCATTCACCAATAAGGAGTCACAGAATTTTCACATTAATTATGCAAATTAGGTCATCATTTGCATAATTGATATCTATTGAATCAGATGTTCCGCCTGCCAAAGATTAAATAGATTACATGTATAAAAGAGCTATTATATAAAGCAATGTAACTATAGAATTTCCTTAAAATTTCCCTAGAAAGTCCTCATTTGCATAATTTGTATTTAATTATATGTACAACCCTCTCTTAGCTACCTACATACCAAAAATTATGAAAATATGTTGTTCCTATCTGGACTTATTGGGTTTTTTTAAAAGATTTCGCCATTTTCCTCACATATAATTGTTGATGACCTCTGACATACAAAACTGTATATTATCTTGTTTGAATACTTTTATAGGAAGCCTTGTACTTAAGTCTGTTAGAAATTTTATATTGTTACTGATGGATCTTAGTCTAATGTGGTACTTGTAGCCTATTTGTAGGTTATATTGTGTATGTTTGATTTGTGTATCTTTTGGCACCCGATATCAGCCTTGCTGCCTGGGTGGCCATCGTATTGCCTCGCTGCAATTGAATAAAAATAAAAATAAAAAGTAATGCTCAACACAAAAAAAGCAACAAGCAGGACAGAAAAGCAACGCTCAGGGCAGAAAAGTGATCTTCGGGAATGGCAACACTTCGGACAGAAAAGCGACCCGCAGATCACAAATCCAACCTTCAATGCATAAAAACCTCCCTCAGCCTTCAAACGTGTGAAACTAGCCAGCTGAAATGGCAGACCTCTATTTGTTTGGTCAAACCAGTTCACTTACGTGATAATAACAATAGTATAAGAGATGATCTAGCCCCGCATTTCTGGCGCATTTCACGATGACGGCCCACCCTGCCGCAGTTTTCCTGCTGTGTCTGCTAGCCACTGTACAGTCGCAGGACACCGGTAGGACACGTGTCTTTGTAAGCTTCATAACATTATAGGACACCAGTTATGTAATGTCTTTTCTACCATATGCTTACCTATCTAGGCGCCCAACAGTAAAATAAACGCGTGGGGTCGTGTGGCGTAGCGGCAGAGTGCTCGACTCGGAACCAAGAGGTGCCGGGTTCGAGTCCTGACATGCCACCAATCTTGTGCCCTTGGGAAAGGCACTTTACACGTTCCTCACTTAACTCAAGAGAAAATGAGTATTGTCCTGTCTTGTATTTGTACTCTGTGTTGGTGGCGGCATAAAATAAGTTGATATAACTTGAGTGTGCCGTCGCCATGTTTGGTCATGAAATGTTGGACTAAAAAAAACAGTAAATAATATGCCATGGTCACAATTGAACTTGATAATTTCATCGATGTAGTTTGTTGTTGTTGCAAAGCCGACCAAGGCCAAACAAAGATGTACATTTGTGGCTACCTACCAAATATCATAAACATACATGTTCCTTTGCCCTAATATGACAACCAAATGACCTGCAATTAAGTGTGGAAGAGCCTTGGCAATTTTTCTATGTCCCCAGAGCTTTCATCATTGACACGCTTTTGGCATACTCTACTTTAAAATGTTGCAAAAAAATGAGACTATCTTGCTGTTTTCTGGCGATATATGTACATTTTGGGCCCTTTTCCCTAATACTCGGATTCCCGAATGACCAGAAAAAAATGTTTGAATGTTTGTCCCTGTGTTTCCGCTGACAGGTTGCCCGGATGCTGACCCGACATTGACCCCGTGGAACCCCGGCCAGGATTGGACGGCGCGGGTGGTTGTGGGAAGGGGAGAGAACTATCTGCTCCAGTCTTCAGCCGCGTTCTACTCACTGGAAATCAAAGATGGAGGTACGTATTTTTTTGTCGCCTATTGGCGTTTTTCAAAGATTCCTGGCGGTATAAGCCCAACAAAGCTACATGACATTATAATTATAACAAAAGATTAAAGATGAACTAACAAAGGTCAGCTAGAAATAGATAAACTTATCGTGAACAAGACGAAATCGTAACTAACTCATCAACAATCAAATGAAATAAGGTAACATAGAAGCAATTATAATCGTTCAGATATCAAATCATAATGGTAGATAGTCAAAAGATATGTCAACTTAAAAGTAAATAACTAAAAGTGGAGTTTGCATATCAATGGAAAGAAATATGAATAATCAAATCAAAGAGACATGGAAAGTCAAATAATACAGAAGTAACGGAACAAGTTGACCTTGGTATATCAGTGTCCAGTAGTTATATATTCTTGATTGTAGATCTTTTTGAACGTATTCATGACTTGTATCGGACAGTCTGAGTCAGGTGTACCACAGGACACTATTTCGATCTGCCATTGATATATATGGTAAACATCTTAAGAGGGCCTGCATGGGGGGTCCCAAAAACGCTCTACGCTAAATTTTGAGAGCCGGCTACGTATTACGCTGAATCCAGGAAGCCTCCCCCATTACGCTTTACGATAAATTCCAGGTAGCTACAACGAATTACGTAATAGAAAACAGCGAATTACGCTCTATGCAAAATGCGTCAATTGAATACGTCTACGTTGAATTAGAGCGGTCCGTCTACGCTCTACGTAGAATTAAAACGGCTCGTATTATTACGAATTATTACGCTCTACGGAAAAGGGCATGCGGGCCTCCATCTAACAACTAAGTTGTTAAAATCACATACTTAAGGTTAAGACTATAAAAAACACACACATTGGCAAGGTAGTCCAACACCTACATTGTCCACTAAGTCCACAATTCTTGGATTTCGACGGAACAACTCAGGTTTACCAGTCAAAACAAACTCGTTGTGGCCTATGACCTCCGCTAGCCTCGATCAGACCACAGGAAAAAAAGGACCAACGTCTACCAGGCAACACCTGTGCCCTGTGCCACATTACTTTACACATTTCACAGTTTTGACAAATATTATTCAGGGAAAACAAAGCATGGAATAGTTTACTTGGGTATGTAATAAGACAAATTGTCGGAGATGGTATGGGATATATAATGAACTTGCTTGTTGTGTAAAGTTAAAACGTTTGATCCCGTCGCAGTTCAATGTAGGGTGATGGGCCCTGATGTATATGGCTTCCTTCACCCCTCTCAAGAAATAGTCTTGTTCAGTGTCTAAAATCCTTACAGTGTCAAGTGAAACAAAATGTCCGGGTGACTCTATGTGGATGTGTTGAGACACCGCTGAACTAACAGAGCTAGGCCGTGTATGTTCTTGAAACCTGGTCTACTGAGGAAGACCAGAGTGACTGGTCGAAAGCTCTACGTGAGAGAATTTTTTGTGTTGGAACAAAAGTTTTAACTTTAAACATGTAACTACCAACACAGATGAACTTTTATGATAGGACTTGCTTGTTGTTCAGATGAGATAGATGGTCTTCCTAACTAGAGTGGTCCTCCATGAACAGGTCGGGTTGTGTTTGCTGACCCTGGCCCCTCCAGTACGACTGAAATCACCCTGTCTTCGCGTGAGATCACGGTCAGCGCTGACGGCGAGTTCCACATCGGCAGTGAGACGTGTCCGTACCAGGGGAGGGCCACGGTGACTCTGTACGGCCGCTCAGATGACCGGGACAACAACAAACAGTTCCTGGTGGCGGCCGGCGGGACCTTGGAGGTCCACGGGAGACGTAAGCTGGGCTGGACACAGCTGACACAGACCGTGCCTGCAGGGGGACTCCCTAAGGTGAGTTAGTCCTCATTTTTCCATTGTACAAAAAAGCGAAAAGAAGTTGTATTCTCTGTATTAGCTCAGTAACTAGAACACTTTGTATTACGGTGGCCCGTAAGTACAGGCATGCGTGTCTGCGCGAATACTTTCCACGTCTGTGCGAGTACCTTCCACGTCTGCGCGAGTACTTCCACGTCTGCGCGAGTACCTTCCACGTCTGCGCGAGTACCACTTCAGAGGGGCCGGATCAGTCTGGAAGTCAGAGTGACTGGTTGAATCTCTAGGTGAGAACAATTTGTCTTGTGTTGGATCAAAAGTTTCAACTTGAAACACTCTCCCATCCTCATGCTGTTTCTATTTCACCACAGGGTCCGTACTTCTGGGACTCTGCGCCTGACTGGCCCCGCGGCATTCACGTGCGCGTGTTTGACGAGATCTCCGGGATGCACGTCAGCACGGACAGGTTCGACACCCAGGTCAGCAGGGACGAGAGCCTGCGTCTGGCGGCCTTCATCGACCAGGTTCCCGCCGGGAAAGTCGTGGCGCTGGCGCTGGTCAACACCGCGAACGGCAACCTGGAAGCCACAGCCAAGCAGAAGATAAGGGAACTGGGAAGTGTCGAGGTGGACTCCCTGGCTCGCAGGTACCATGCTGATAAAACTCCTGCTGACAAGCCCCTATCGGTACCCATATTATCACTGTCCCTGTGGCCCCCGTTTTAAGCGTCGGTCACAACCCGCCGTACGTGCTTTTTGTCCGTAGATTTTGGGAGGCTACGTCTGCTACGTTTTTCTGAAAACGTGGGGAAGGAGTGGCATCGACGCACGTCACTCGCACGGTTGCGTACGATGTAAGAATGTGGTCTGCACGCCACGTCTGGCCGTGAGCGGTTGCGTGCATCGTACGTTGCGCAAGTGGTAAGTGAGTTGTACGTGCTTACAACGTACGATCTCTGTGCGATCGCAACTTTACCGTAAGAGGGCCGTACTCACACGTGCTGCTTACGTACGTGGCACGCGCGTCGCCCGTACTCGCACGTACGGGAGGTGAATCCGCAGACCGCACCCAGAAAAAGTTTTACATGCACTTTTAAAAAGTTCTACGGCGTGTCTGCGAGCTCCCAAATCCGTAGGATTCCGTACGGAGCTGGTACTCACCACGCACGGATGCCCTACATTTGCCCACGTTTTTGCACGTAGACAGCACGCAGTTCTAAGCACGTACGGCGGGTTGTGACCAACGTTTTACCTGTGTCCTCATGCCCGTCTACGTATAGGTACTTGACTGTGCTCTTAATCAGTTTTATGTATCAGAGGTCTCAGTACTAATTGTTTATGTGGGCGCCCGGGCGAATCTATTTTGCATTTTATACTTCACTGTCCTTTATATGATTAGCAGAGACCATCGGGCCTTATCGGCAAAGTTGCAGATCTACTTCGTCCGATCATAAGGCCACACCGCTTTAATTTTATGGATGACACCCTCTGAAGATCTCCAAACTAGTGCGCGCGGGCGAATAAAAAAAAATCCGGCCAAAAATAAAAATTCTACTAAACCACTGGAATTGCTGGTATTGTGAATTTGTGGCAGTACTTAGCGACGTATCCGACAAGCCGGCACATGCGGAATTTATGAATCGACACCGTACGTATGTACTGAGTTCTTGAGTCGTGGAGCTTCGGTAGCCTGGGTGCCCGGCTCCATATTGTCGCTAACTACCATGGACTACCAAGGCCTAGAGCTAGGCCAGAGCCTCAGTGGACGTGATCTTTTTTTTTTGAGAACAGGCGAAAATCAATGCGCGCGCGGATGTCATCCATAAAATAAAGTCGGTGTGGACTGATGATAGTAACTTAAATAACGCCATAGCTTCTTGAGTTATGCTGTTGCCATACGTACCCACACCACAGCCTGTACACCATGGCTAAACCTTAAACATACCTTTCAGGCGAGGGTAATAAGAACAGTTACAATTCAGATGCATTAACAGCGGTAATAAACAATTAACAACACTAGAAAGGCCAATATTTGCTTTGGAGCAAATACAGCGATGGGTTCACCACATTTTACGACATGGCAGGGAAAGAATGGGAAACACAAGGGAAAACAATGATTTACATTGTCATTGATATAACTATAATATGAAGTAAAATACAACTAAAACAACAGTTGGATAGCTATTCCCTACTTTATTGGTTAGGATTTTTAATTGCATAATGCAAACTGTTGATTTTCAAAATAAAAAAAAAACGTCCATGCCCGGCATTCCAATGCTGGAGCAGGAAAGCTTGAAATACCTACCAAAACACTTGAATACAGACATACTGTCAGTATGGAAATGCTTCTGTGCAGGTGTTAATCAAGTTAAATCCCAACAGCCAATCAGCAAGAAGTATAGAGGAAAGCTGCATGCCTATTGGTTGATGCCCTGCATTCCATTGTCATGACTCATGCCCAAACGTAGTAAACAAGGCAGACTAACACAGTAATACATTTGCTATAACACAGCCAAAAAACTCAAATAAAACCATTCTAAAAGCCTGTATCACAATAATTTAAAAAACGCCTAGGGGTATTTGCCCACTGTACCTCCATACCAAATTTCAGGACCTTAGGCCCTAAAATGAAGAAGCTGAATCCATTTAAAGATATGACAGGAGGAGGAGGAGAAGGAGGAGAAGGAGGAGGAGAAGAAACATCAGAAAAAGCAATATGGTTTCACCACACCACTTCGTGGTGTGGTGAACCCATAATAACAAAAGAAGGTAAACAATTCAGATGTATTAATAGAGGTACTGGATGTAATGTTATACATAGAAATATATCGTGAAACGCACATGCATCATGAAAGTTCATCTGTGTTGGTAGTTACATGTTTAGAGTTGAAACGTTTGGCCCAACACTAAAAAGTTCTCTCACCTAGAGCTTTCGACCAGTCACTCTGGTCTTTCTCAGTAGACTGACCCAGTGAAGCTTATCACGTGGCTTCTTTGAAGAGTGACGTCAACACTGGGTCAAAGGTATCTGGTAGACGATGTCGGCCTAGCCTGGGTACCATCCCCAGTAGTATATTCGCAAACTCTATTTAGCCTCGGTCACAACTCGCCGTGCGTGCTTTTTGTCCGTACGTTTTTGTCGTGGCTACGTATGCTACGTTTTTTCTGCAAACGTAGGGTGGCCGGCCGAGGGAGTACGTCACTCGCAAGGTGTACGTACGTGGTCTGCACGACACGCCTGGCCGATAGCGGTTGCGTGCACCGTACGTTGCGCAAGTGGTAAGTGAGTTGTACGTGCTTACAACGTACGATCTCTGTGTGATTGCCACGTTGCCGCGTACAGGCCGTACCTACACGTGCGGCGTGCGCACGATTTCCTTACTCACTCGCACGTTGTAAGTGCGTGCACCTCCTGTTAACTTCATCATCACTAGCCGCCCTGGTGTCTTCCGCGGCCCGTTTCTTTGGATCTTGTCTGGTAGACTTCTTTTGAGCCTTCCTGGGCATCTTGGAGACGAGTTGGCAGTCGCCCGTCAAGTCGTCTTTATATACTGTAGAAATCAGGTGCGTTGCACGTGCGTTGCACGTGCGGAGCACCTAGTATGGTGCACGTGTGTTCTGCGTGGTCATTGAGCAGGTCAACTGGGAAGTGAGGAGTAAGCACGGATGACGCAAGCACCGTGCGTGGCACTCAC